ACACACACACACACACACACACACACACACACACACACACACACACACACACAGCACAACAAGTACACACAACACACAACACACAACACACAACACACAAGCAACAAATACACACACGCACAACAAATGCACACGCACACACACACACACACACACACACACACACACCCGCTAGCGCTGGCCCTCACCCTGGTTCCAGTCAAGAGGTGGAAGGTTGGTTGTGCAGTACACGCGTGCGCATGCCGTCGGTCTGTGCGGGTCGAGCGTTGCCTGCAGGCAACCACGACGCCGGTGCAACGCGAGCGGTACAACCTCATCGAAGGCATCAGTGATCTGCATCACGCGCACACCAGACGGTTGTGGCTGCGAGTGGCGACGAAGATGCTCTGCGCCATTCGTGGATGCAAGCAGGACGCGATTACATCAGCGTGAACTGGGATGGAGCAACAAGGAGTGCACACACACATAACGCGCACACGCACACACATTTACACACATATGCGCACACAATGCGCAAGCACACAAAAGTTCACACGCACACGTGTGAGCACGTACGCTGAATGCGCTGCCGCTGCTCTTGCGTCAAGCTGTCATCATTTGCGTATGTGTACACGCGTGGAGTCGACGGTGATGGCGGCTGCTCCCCGCGGCAAAACAGCCCGCGCACAACCTGCAAGAGAACACGCGGCGGGCGTGTGTGTGTGTTCATGTGTGTGTGTGTGTTCATGTGTTCATGTGTGTGTGTTCATGTGTGAGTGGTTTGTGAGGGTGCGATGGAGGCAGGAACAGCAGGCGTCCTCAAAGCACCACAGGAACGAGCACATCAACTCCGGCCAATAACGCAAACTGCGGAAACAGCCACCACCGCACCCGTTCGTTGAAGATGATGGCACGTGAGGACCGCGCCTGCTCAACACGGAAACTGCACAATGATGATGACGAGGATGACGACGATGGTGGTGGTGGTGATGGAGCAAAATTGTGTGACGAAGCCCACACTCTGGTTCTCTTACACAACACACACACACACACACTTCGTGCAGAGTGACGCCTCCTTACTCCTGTGTATCAAAGAGGTGGCGGTACAGCAGGCGAATGTGTTCCCGTCCGTCCGCTGTCATGGCGTCCTCGTATTTGATCAATGCAACCCTGTACACACACACACACACACACACACACACACATACGCACACACACACGCGCACACACACACACACACATACGCACACACACACACACACGCACAGTGTCGATGCATTAAAGTGAGACGGCTCGTGCACACGTGTACATGTGAAGCCAAGACCAGCACATGCTAAGGCCCAAGACACACACACACACACAACACAAAGAAGAAGAGGGGAGGAATTGCGGTTGACATGACCTGTTTTCGTTGAGGAATTCGTGCGATGCGACGTCGAGCATGTGCTGTTGTGCCGCCACGGCATCAAAGCCCGCTGCACACACACACACACACACACACGCACGTACGCACACACACACACACACAGAGCACACACACACGGCCAGCAGCCATCGAAGAAACATTGCGACGATGATGACGATGCACGTGTTGCGACGTGGTGTTGGAGGAATGTGAGCGTGCGCCACAAGACAGTGATGGCAGTGATGGCAGTGATGATCACATGCAACCCAAGACACACACGCACACGCACACGCACACGCACACGCACACGCACACGCACACACTCTCTCACCCGCGTGTGTGTCGTGTTTGGACGATGGGGTGATGCGCATGCTAAACCCCGGATATGGGCGGTCGTAGTTCAGGAACAGCTGCACATGTGAAATTAACGGGGAGGTGGGATGGACATGTGAGTAGAGTGTCAGATCGCAGCAATCGCGCCGCAGGGTGCGTGAGGTCGCACAATCCTTCACTCACTCACTCACTCACTCACTCACTCACTCAATCACCAGTACATTCACCCATCGCTCCATCCACGTACTCATACACGCATGCACACACTCGCGTGTGAGGGTTAGACCTTGAGGGACTGGGGGAAGTCACGTGTGTCCCTGAGCACGTATGGAACCTTTGCACCATGTTCCCGAAGAAACGCAGCCCTGATGTGTTCATGAGCACACACACAGAGCAAACGCACATACCCACACAGAGCAAACGCACATACACACACACGCACATACACACACGCACACACACGCACATTCACACACAGAGCAAACACACACAGAGCAAACGCACATACACACGCACGCACATACACACACGCACACACACGCGCATTCACACACAGAGCAAACACACACAGAGCAAACGCACATACACACACACGCACATACACACACGCACACACACGCACATTCACACACAGAGCAAACACACACACACACATCATGACAGCACGAGATGAGCATGACCAGCGTCGTCGTCACTGCAACAGCAGCAGCCAAGGTAAAGCAACGCGATGCAGCGCGTACCTGCACATTCGCATGAGGTTCAGGGACGTGGCGTCCAGCAGCGCCATTGACGCGTGGTGGTTCCGCTTGACAGCCAACTGTGGTTTGAGTGGATGGGAAAAGGAGCGACACAAGTCAGTGCGTGCAGTGAGCACTGCGATGACGCATGTACGCGCGTGTCCGTGCGCGTTACACGCAGCCCCAGTACCAGCACCAGCATCAGCACCAGGAGGCTGATTCACAAGGAGCAGGTGTGCTCACATCGAGCGGGGTGGTGCCGAGGCGGTCAACCTCTTGCTCCACGCCTTCCTGCTTCAGGAGCAACTCAAGTGTTCTGTGTGCATTCGCCTCGGCCGCATAATGCAGCAGCGACATGTCCCTTGTGTGTGTGTGCGTGTGTGTGTGCGTGTGTGCGTGTGTGTGTGTTTGTTTGTTTGTTCATGAGTGGGTGAAGATGGGGGGGGGGGGCTTGTGCAAATGCACTCACACACACAGACACACAGACACACAGACACACACACACACACACAGACCAGCAATCCAGTGCTTACAAGTTGTCCTTGACAAAGACGGAAGCGCCAGCGTCCAAAAACGCCTGTACCACTTCAGGATTGTCATGGCCTAGGAGCAGTGGTGGTCAGAAAGATAGGTGAGCGATGGCAACAGGGGTTGAGTACAAGACCGACGGTTATACAGCAAACCAGATGGACGCGGTTTGTGTCACCCACCATTTCGAAGATAGAGCCCAAGCGGCGTCAAGAGCTTTCCATACACCTTCTGCAGGGTGGATGCAGGGATGCCACCGCAACATTCGTGGCATGAACCTCAGTATCAGCTCGCAAACACACACGCACACACATGAACACACACATGAACACGCACGCCAACACACACACACACACACATGAACACGCACACTCACACACACACACACACATGAACACGCACACTCACACACACACACACACACACACGCATACACACACACCTTAGTTGCGGTGATCTGCGATCGAATGTCGCTGTGGGAGAGGGCGTCTGGCAAGACGTTCGCGTGCCTATTCACCACCCCAAAGATGTCCAGACTGTTGTTGTTGGCATTTGCACCGCCTCTGTCATTGTTGTGGTTGTCCGCCATCTTCGCCGACACACCAATTGCGATTTGTGAATGTCTTTATTGATTCTTCGGCCCTTGTGTGTTAGCGGAGCAAGGAACACGCCTTCACAGACACACACACACTGACACACACACACACACTGACACACACACACACACAGACACACACACACACACACTGACACACACACACACACACACACACGCACACACACGCACGCACACACACACACACACACACACACACACACACACACACACACACACACACACACACCGAGCTATCAATGGTTTGATGACTCGTCGTCGTCGCGTGCGCCACGTGGCGGCACAATGGCCACGGTTCGCTTCTTCAGCACGCTGTTGGGCTTGACGGGCTCGGCCGGAATGGTCTGCGCACAGAAGAAGAACAACACCAACAACAGCAGCAGTGCCAATACCAGCAGTGGTCAGAAAAAGTGCAAAGTGGAAGAACAGTAAACGCAGCAGCACGCAACAAGGTGTGTGACACAGGCCCCTCCCCCCCCCAAAAAAAAACAAGGACACACATGCGCACCTGCACGCACGCACGCATACATGTTATGTGAGCGTACCAAGTCGGGCTTGTAGTAGTTGTGTGTCATGGATGCTCCGAGCATCATGGAGGAAATGCTGAAGAAGCACAGGGCCACGTATTGCCCAACAGACCAACGCCCAGGCATGGTGTCACGGTGCCCAAACTCGTTACCGCCCTTGCTGCTCTTGTTGCTGCTGTTGTGTTGAATGAGCGACGCTATCGCCTTGTGGTGGTGCCTGACTGTCTTGGACTCGCCTCTCTGCCTCCAGTCGTGTCACCGTGTCGTCTACAATACAAACCGACAGTGGCATGAGTGAGTGAGAATGTGAGTGTGTATGTGTGAGTGTGAGTGAGTGTGTGTGTCTTGTGTGTGTGTGAGTAAGTGTGTGTGCGTATGCTGTGTGCGTGTCAGTGTGTCAGTGTGTGCATGTGTTCCATGGCAGGCAAGTGTGTGGCCAGTTCTGCAAACACGCTGTACATTATTGCAAACACGCCCGCGCCGCCGAACAAACTTACAGAAGGTTTCCTCGCCAACTTGGACGTGGAGCATAAACCACTCGATGGAGACTCCAAGCACAAACGACGCAGCGCTCACCTTCGCAGCCACCTTCCAAAACCCCATGCCCTACCACACCAACAAGGAGCAAGGAAGATGAAGATGCGTGTGTGTGCTGGATGTGTGTGTGTGTGTGTGTGGATGTGTGCATGCAACCACTTTGTGCCGAAAAATGTGTATGCTGTGGCCATTCTTCCCAACTTGCCACCACGATCAGCACGATGAGCAGTGCAGCGCGGTTGCGGTTCTTTGACATTGGAGCCAACCTCACAGACCCCGTGTTCAGAGGGGTATACAGAGGGAAGCAGAAGCACCCGTCCGACTTTGCACAGATCCTC